GTTCCTGACACTGTGTGCGGTGCTTCCACGTCGGCAAAGAGCAAAAACCCATGAAAAACCCATCGAGAAGCTGGAGGGAGCCCAGAGGTCCTGGGGCAGAGCAGCACCACGTCCCCACGGTCCCATGTCCCCTCTTGGCTCGACACCAGCACCGTTGTAAGGTCAACAATGGTGTTGCAACAACATCCACCCTGCAGTGGCCGATTTCATCCGGAGGGTGTTTGGGCTGGATTCACCCCTGGAGCCGGTCTGGCAGTGACCCTCGATTTCTCCTGCAGGTACCAGACAAGGGTTTGTTCTGCGGTGCCGGAGCTGCAGGCTCTCCAGACAGGTACATGACGGGGTCCCAGCCCGTTGCCACTGTAACTCTTCTCAAAAAAAATCTCAATTTTCCAGATGGTGTATGCTAAAAATGACTTACGCATCCTTTGTCTTTTTTTGTTTTAGGAAAAATGTCAGGCGGCTTCTCTGTAAGTAAAAAAACCAAAAGCTTTGAAAAACAAAAGTGGGGCTGTGATTGTTTGATTGCCTTGGAGCGGGGACCTTCGGCAGGGGTGGGAGCACGGCTTCGCTAACTTGTGTAACTCCCCAAATCCGCTCCAGTTACATTGGCATGTACTGTTTTTTGGGAAACCTCAGCCCGAGAACTCAATCCACCCCCCAAAACTGCTCGAGAGCAGTTGGGCGCTTGCCCTCAGTGCTCACTGGAGGCTACAAGAGCTGCGTGTTGGAGGACTCAACTTGACCCCAGGACTATTGTCACCCACCTAACCCTTCTCCTCTCCCCTCTGTCCCCAGTTATCCGATGCCTTGCCCACCGGCAACAACCCCCCTCCCGGTGCCCCCCCACCCCATGGCTGGCCCTCCTGGGGGACCAGCCACCACCTCCTGGGGGGTTCCCAGGGCACCCCGGCCCTCCAGGCGCCTATCCTGGAGGACCAGGACCATACCCTGGAGGACCGGGACCACATCCAGGACCACCTGGAGCATTCCCTGGAGGACCAGGGCCACATCATGCCCCAGGACAACCACCCAGTGGCCCTGGATTTGGGCCACCTCCTCCACACGCGGGACCAGCTCCTCCCATGGTAACGGCTCCATCATATTATAAGGGTATTTGTGTCTTCATTGCCTTGTTTTGCTTGGTCATGGGGGAGGACCGGGACCACATCCAGGACCACCTGGAGCATTCCCTGGAGGACCAGGGCCACATCATGCCCCAGGACAACCACCCAGTGGCCCTGGATTTGGGCCACCTCCTCCACACGCGGGACCAGCTCCTCCCATGGTAACGGCTCCATCATATTATAAGGGTATTTGTGTCTTCATTGCCTTGTTTTGCTTGGTCATGGGAGGGACCTGAGGCTGGTTGTCCCCGGGGTGATGGTGGCATGGGTGGTCACTGTGTTACGGGGGCTGTCTCAATGTGTTGCCGCACCAAAAGCCAGCCTGTGCCCGAGTGTTCAGCTCTGGATGTGGTTTTCTGCTAACACCAAATCCCTGTTGTCTCCCAGAAAGTCCCCTTTGAGCTGCCTCTGCAGAAAGGACTCGTCCCTCGGATGAGCATAATCATCACGGGGACCGTCAACCACAACCCAAGCAGGTACTGGGGGGCGCCCAGCGCCAAGGAGGGGTGTTCTGTGGGGCACTGCTGGACTGAGCAAGGGGGCTGGAATTTGCTTTCCATTCCTGAATAACACCTGCCTGGTGTAAAAGCAAATATTACACAAAATAAATGTGTAAATTCCCTGTCATCGCCCAATGGGGTCTGTGCGGTTTTTGTTCTGCCACTTTTCATAGAATCCTAGAATGGTTTGGGTTGGAAGAGACCTTCAAGATCATCTAATTCCAACCCCTCTGCCATGGGCAGGGACACCTTTCACTAGATCAGGTCGCTCAGAGCCTCATCCAACCTTTTGGCAAGCTCTGTAACGGAGATTCTGTAGAAAAAAAAAACAGCAAACCTGTTATTGCCTTTGCAGGTTTGCACTGGATTTCAAGAGAGGGAGCGACATTGCCTTCCACTTTAATCCCCGCTTCAAGGAAGACGGCGGCAAGAAAGTCATCGTCTGTAATTCGATGATCCGGAATAACTGGGGGAAGGAGGAGAGGATGGCTCCTAGGTTTCCATTTGAAGCTGGAAAACCCTTCAAGGTACCAAAATAAACCCCCCAAAACTTAGTCTTAATGTGCCAGCAGCACCTGGACCACGCTCTGGGAGGGTTTGGTCAGGGCAGTGTAACAAAATTCCCTGTAAGGCCTTTGGTGCTTTTGCAGGATGGGCTCCAGAGGTGCTTTCGGGGCAGTCACCCCATGTGCCTCCCTGGCTGTCCAGCCCAGCATGTCCTACAGCACCTTCCCTGCACTGCTCACCCCCTCGCCCTCCTGCAGGTCCAACTTTTCCCCACTTCTTGTTATTCCCATTTATTATTAAATCCTCCCTATTTCCACTGCCGTTCTGCAGCAGTTGTTGGGCAGGTTTCTGTGAGGCATTTCCCCCATTAGCAGCCAAGCTCTCTTCACGAGCTGCTTCTCCTGCAAAATAGGTTCATTCCTGGTGAGAACTCAGCTGCGTGAGCCGTACAATACTGCTTCTTGAGAACACCGTCATAGTCACGAGGAGGCAGAAACCATGGGCTAAAACACGAGAGATGAGGAGTAGCTCAGGGCATTGGGGAAGGCAAAGGCCACCGGTGTATTTGCAGCCAGGAGTTGCTTCACCAGCTCGTCCACATGCCACCAGGCTGGGCTCAGCCTGTGGCCAGTGCCATCCTGCTCCAGTCCATGGCTTAAAACTTCTTCCTGGAACAAATCCGATGGTTATCTTTTGGCTGATTTGGGGTCTTTATTTCAGATCCAGATCCTTTGCGAGGCGGATCACTTCAAGGTGGCGGTCAACGATGCTCACTTGCTGCAGTACAGCTTCCGCGAGAAGAAGCTGAACGAGATCACCAAGCTGTGCATCTCTGGGGACATCATCCTCACCAGCGTCACGCCGACCATGATGTAACCCTGGTGGTGTCATTTTAATGCAAACTTAGTGCTCTTAATGTGGCTGTAACAGAAGTGCCTTCTTACAGGAATGCTTTAAGGTAATAAAACATACTTTGACAAGTAAAATTTGTCTTCAATAAGATCTCAAAAGACACAATGTCCTCCAGCAAGCCAAGTTCAAACTCAGAAGTATCTGAATTCTTGCTGTAAAGACGGAGAACCTCTTTGCTGAAGGATGACGACTCGGAACTGTTTCATTTGCATGGAGAATATTTGGGAAAGCAGCCAGCAGCGTACTGCCGCTGGTCCTGGGAAATAGGGCAGCAATCTTCAACCCCATCTTCTCCAAGTAGCAGTCAGTAACTTCGTGGTTTTAGCCTCAGCTGCTCTGCTAAGGAGAGCAGTTATTCCTTTTTCACTAAAGGAATCAAAACAGTGCAGCAAAGGACTCGGGTTCCCCTATGCAGAAGAGGACGAGGTGCACAATCACGCTGTGAATGGGTTGTGTGTAATCCACAGAAGTGTCACCTCACTGAAGTTGTCCACTAAAAAGCACTGGAGAACAGGGAAAACTCAAAAGCCTGTCATTCTGACAACAATTAGAAATTTCAAGTGGGGGTTCACAGCTGGAGGAAGCAAAACCTCTCCCTAGAGAGGAGAACATCATGCCTAGAAAAATGATCCCTCTCCTTCACTTCAAAGGCCCGTTCTGCCCATTTGGTGGCCCAAATCAGCATGTCCTGAACTCACTTCCCTCCCAAGGGAGATCAAGACACTTATGCAAGCGTTACATTCTCCACATAACAGGTCACGAGCCTTGTGCTTCTCTCCCCTTATCACTTCTGTGTCAGCCAAGACCGGTTTCAAGGGTGGGGAGGTTTATTGGCGAGTTCATCTCATGAGTCAAGCTGGTAAAAAAAATAAATAAACAAAAAAAACTTTTAAAAAAAATATGTTCCCTTCACTGTGAGTCATTCTCCTGGTCTTGCCTGCAAAACAAGAACAGCCCAATAGCTGCTACTGAAGTTTTCAAGGATCTCTTTGACATGTCTCATCCTCTTTTATAACGGTTGCTTCACCAAACTTGGCATCTCCAAGTACAAAACACGCAGAGTGTTGAAATTTCCAGCAGATGCAGTAGCCCCCACCAGCACACTGCTAACCTCGGCTTAAGTGCATACAAAATACATCAGAAATTCCTCTCAGGGTGTTGAAGACTGAACAGAGCAGGCAAGTCATTAAAAATCCGTTTGAAACTATCCGTACAACTGGAGTTTAGTAATGAAGAAAGCTGCTCCCAGCACAGTAACACCAATTCACATCAGCTTCCTCTATTTATTTCAGTGTAATCAGTGCCACAGCTTCCAGGTTAGGGCTGAAGTCAGACGAGCTTCCCTCGCCGTAGTGGCCGTGTTTTCTGCGGAGGGATCCGTGTTACCTTTGTTTTAAACCTTTTTATGGTTTAAAATAAAGGCTAGTGGAAGAATGTATTACACTAAGGTCACCAATACAAGAAGCCCAGTCAGGTGTTTGTTAAAAATATAATAACTGGAGGTAGTCTGATACTACTAGTCAAATATAGAGTACATATAACCAGCATGTTTCTTATGCATAAGTATATTACAGTCCGGACAAGAGAAAGCATAAGGAAAAACATATGAGAAGAGGCTGAGGTTAACACATCAAGAGTTCAGAGAAAGAGGTTAAGAGATTTTCACACGAAAAATCAAAGAGAGAATAGGGTTTGGCTTGAAGGTACTTCAGTTATTCAATAGATATCCGTGTCCTTAAAGGAAATAATCATCAATGCCTATTTTAATACATTGCCAGGAAAAGATATTATCTGACTTTGAAATTCTTGTTCTGAGATAGTTTCTACTATTACAAAGGAAGTGGTTGTAAAACACCAGGAAGACTCCCTCACAGGCAAGAATGACATGCATCAAACCCTGCCACGTCTGCTGATTAGGTCAAGTTGTTAATGCACAGAGTACTGGAGCCTAAGGATGAAACAGCAGCTTCCTCACAGCAGCGATGGAGCATGGAACGGTGCTTCAGAGGAGGCAACAGGCTGAGTCCTGCCCCTAGAAGGTGCCCTCACATCAGAAACAGGGCACGGGTACGTACAGCTAGTCTGGTGGGCATCTTACAGTAGTAACTCATGACATAAGTAAGGTCAGGACAGAGAAAAGCTTAAAGATGAACAGCTTTACAACTTGAAGTAGAGAGGAAATACAGGAAATTATACAAAAATTAAAATATTTCTGGTTGTAGTCAGAGTATGCAACCATTGGATCCAGCAGGTATAGCCAGCAAACACTCCACTAATAATATACAGCAGTACTTACAGCACGTAATGACTGCACCATAAAACGTTACAAAATATTTTAAGAAGTTCCACCACCGAGTACGACAGGTATTCAGTCACTCAGAACACAGGTCAAGGGTAGCAGACTATACTCCGGATACCCTCTGTGGGGTTTTTTGTTGATATCATTTACACATTTTTGAATTTCAAGTCACTCTTCATTTTGCCCCAGAGGGAGAAAGGGGAGAAAACACAATAAGGTCATTGAACGCTTCAGCTGCAGCAAACTTCTGAGCTTTGCTCCTGACCGGCGTGAAGGGAAGCTCAGCATCCAGCATCGGCTGTGGGAGAAATCACATAGGAACAACTATCTGCTCTGCAAAACACCACTGCAGCGACACACGAAATAAGCTAACAGCAAATTCCCCTTTCTCCAATGACATCTGTATAAAAACCATAATTACTGTCAGGCAACTGTTTCAATTCAAAATCATGCACCGCTACGTACCATGACTTTCCTAAGAGAAATTTTGCAAGCTTGTTTCCAGGCATAAAATAAGAAGGGAATACGTGGTCCATTTTGAAGGCACTCATTAATTAAAGCAGTAATTCATATTTTAAAGAGGATTTTTCACAAGACTTAAGAAACTCCACACCCAAATTCTTTCAAAAACTCGAAAGTTTTTGCACACCTGCTTTTCCCTGTTGAATCTTACATCCAGCTGTAAAACACAAAGCTATAAAAAAAGGGATGGGACAGGCCTGGAATACTCCAAGAAGAATGTGGAAGGAAAAGGTCAGGCCATTCATTATGTCAGTAAATATTTACGAGGAAATCCACAAGAAATATAATTTAAATGATCAATTTGATAAGAACCAGACATTCTTCTATTACAAATGTCTCGATTCATCCTACACTCACCATATGCAACGAGGAATAACAGTGTGAGCCTCAGCAGGGAGAGAGGAATCGTGGCTTGTATTTGGACTAAGTTATAAGAATTGGCTTGATAGCATCTTACGGAGTTTAATTTCCTTTGTGCCGTAAGAGATTCTGTAGGAAAGGTTAACACCACTGTAGCACACAGATTGGCTCAGTCAAATAAACCTGAAGGTCAGCTTACCATATCAAAAGGATTTCTGCAAACGGATGCCAAATCACTACATGAAACATCTGAAAAATAAGAATATTTCATTTTAAGTTTTTTTTTTTTAAAAGTTATCCTGATGCTGCCAAAGCTGAAAAAACAGTTCTGTTTTCTGCATATACTGAAAAAAAAAACCCAAACCCTAAACTGTCTGTATTTACTTCTACTTCAAGCTTTTTATATTAGCTTCTCCTTCACATATCTCATGGAAACTATATCGGAAAATAAATCTGAGGGGCACTATTTGCTCATACACAGATTAATCAAGCTACAGCGATTCGAAAGAGCAATATTTAGACTATCATAAAACTTTAGAATAACCACAAGGCCCCAGCAATCCCACACAAACTGTACTAGCCAGCTTTAAGATATGCACCTGTTGGATGGATTTTTGGTTCTCCAGACCCAGCAAAGCTGGTCTCTGTGCAGGTCTCCTTCTCCGGACTGCACATGGCAATATCTTGTCCTTGTTGTTCTGCAGCAGATAGTTCCATCTCTTCCATGCCCTCCATTACTTCTAATTCACTGCTAGAATTTTCCAGCACCTGGAAAAGGAGGATTTTAACTGTTCCTTGCCCTCAGACAGGCTAGGATGTCTGCAGTAGCTATATTTGCTTCCCAGAGAGCCCAAAGAAGAGGATCAGTGAAATCAGATGGACATGAGGCAGTAGCTAGGACACTAGGAAGCTTTCTTATTTTCTGTTTTGTCCACAATGAAAGAAGTTTGTCAGCTCTTGATGCAGAAAGCACAAAGGTGAAAGGTAGCCAGGACATCCATTCAAGGGATGTGAGCTTACAGAAACCAGCATGTCCCTGTTACATCAAACCAAGTTCACACATCTAATCTACAGTATAAAGAACAATTCCAGAGGGTTTTAACTCCAGACTTAAAGGGTTTTAGCTCCAGACATTGTACAAAGGACAGGCAGGACAAGGATTGCAGCTCAACACTGTGATCCATTTCACACGAACTATTTCCCAAACACCCTTGTAAGCCTGATAATCTCTTGGAGAGTATGAAAGAAGTTCTTCCACACGAAAAATTTTGAACTTAAAGTGCCAAAAACATTCTGAGGATGTTCTCGAATGAGACTTTACCTCAAGAAAAACTCTATCCGCAATACTGAAAGTTACTGATCACCACAGTTTTCCCCAGAGAGTGACATCACCAACAAGCAGTTTCTCATTTGACAGGGAAAGGGCAAAGTAAGAGGCAAATGAACAAATTAGTAACAAAGATTTTTTTTTAAATATATATATTACATATACAAGGGGAGGGGGAACAAGTGCAGTAATCATGCACAGATCCATGCAGTGACAAATAAAATTAAGACACTCCATTTCCAATGAAAGGTACTAAAGGATGATTAACTGTATGCCTGTCGCCAAGTCCTCAGACATTTCAGGGCATGGATTTCTGAAATCTGATACTTGTATTAGTAACACTGCTCTTGCTATACCTCTAAACACTATAACAGCCCCATGCCCTGCTATGGCAGCACGAGGACCCAGGGAGCTAAACACTACTGTTGCCTGTAGTCATGGTCACCGGTGCAAAAG